CTTGTAATGGATGGAATACAGATAATTATCATATACATCAATTACAACAATTTGTAAATAATGATCTTGAAGATACGAATAATAATGATTTTTTTATTGTTACTATTTCGTAAGTATATTTATTTTATTTTATCTTATTTTATTCTAAAATCTATTTTATTTCTATAGATCAACAGGAGAATTTGCATATGGATTTACTAATAGTTTTTTAATAATTTATGATCTAGATGGAAATAATATTTCAAGTCAATATGGCAATATAACATGGCCTGATCCATCTTTTCTTCCACGTGCTGTTGATGTGAATAAAGATTTATTATTTGTAATAATTGGATATATAGGTGATCCAAATATAAAATATAATCCATGTGCTTATTTAATAAATCTTGTGAATTCAACAGTATTTAATATATTAGATGAATGGATATATAGTCCATCAAGTACATCATGGCAATCTAGTCTTACTAATTTTGATGCTTATATTTATTCATCAAAATATGATATGTCAATAAGTTTTAATAATGATGGAAATGAAATTTTAATTGGTATTCAAATAATAAATAGTATTTTAATATTTAATATTGATAAAATAAATGAAAAATTTAATTTAACAATGTCTCAAATCTTCTCCAATGGAAAATCAATTGGAATGGGTAAATCAGTTGCTTGGCTTGATTTAAATCGAATAATTGTCCTTGTTAATACATATTCACTTAATTATATTTGGTCATCATCCCAAATCTTTACATATAATGTAACTCTTTATAATAATTTTTCCGTTTTATCAATATTTCCAAATATTCAACAAACATTAACATCAACATTTAGTCCAAATCTTCTTTCATTTGTTTTAACTGAAAATGGAAAAGAAATTTTATTAGATTCTTCTGGTAATTATTATATTTTATCACCTTCACCTGCTGGTTCATATTCAGATAGTAGTTCAGGTACATATTCCTCATCATCATTATGTATTGCTGGTACATTTACTTCTAAAGAAGATATATTTCCATGTCAACTTTGTCCAAGTGGAAGTACAACAAATGGTTTAGCTGGACAATCATTTTGTATTGAATGTTCTAATGATAGTTTTTGTTCATTAGGTTCAGCATTTGGTGATATAAATTTATCTTCATCAATTTTAAAAAGTTTTAATGAAATAATTGCATATCCCGTGTCACCTCAATCAGTTCGTTTTGATAATATCTTAATGCAAAATATGTTTGTTATTCATGATGCATCATCATCACGTTGTTTACTTTTATCACCATTATTTTGGGCAATTATTGTTATTGCATTTGGTTTACTTATTTGGATAACAAGATTTATTTTAAAAAGTTATATTAATAATCCATTTGGAAAAAAAACTCAAGAACAAATGAAAAGATTTCTTAAAAAAACAGATTTAATTGGTGAAGGAGAATTAGTTATAGGTGGAATATTTAGTTTTGCTATTCTTGTTCTTGTTATATTTGCTTATACATTTAGTAATTCATATTTTCATCGTTATCCAATTGAAGAAATTAATGAAAATGCTGATTTTGCTTGTGATCAAACATTAACAAATGCTCAATTTAGTTCTGGTTTAATGTCAATTGGTATTCCACCTGATGAAACTGAAGAACCAATATTTAATTTACTTAATTCACAAATGTTTACATTAAATATTGATTTTATTAATACAGTATTTAATTGTACAGATATATTAGTAACACAAATCAAAGATAAAAGTTTACCAATGAAAATTAATTCATGTAATGATACATTGAGTACAACATCATTATCATTAATTCTTCCATCACATGATATAAATATTCAAATACAATTATCTGGTATTCATACAATTGGTGCTCTTCGTATTTCTCTTCAAGGATCTTCACAAGATATAACAAATGAAACATTAAATGCTATTTATACACTTTCTCAACTTTTATTTGCTCAAACTTTATCAATGAATGATCAAATGTTAACACAACAAGTTTCATGTTCATTACAAATAACGAAAGTTATTAATCGAACATATCCATTAGAAGAAGAAGGAGAAACAGAATTTAATGCTATTTGGTTACCTATTATTAGTGGAAGTACTTATCAAATGTTTATTGATGAAAATCAATATATTTATAGTACAAGTACAAGTACAATTATTTCAATTGTTATTAGTGAAACATCTTATTATACATTAAATATACAAAAACCAATAACTGATTTTAGTGAATTAATTTTTACTAATCTTCTTTTTACAATTGTCTGTTTAGAAATATTTGGTCTTGGTTTTCTTATTTTTAAACTTATTATTATTCCATTTATTAAATGGATTTATAATCATTCTTGTCGTCGTCATTATCATTCTTCTCGTCGTCTATCATCTATTGATGAAATATATGTTAATGAACTTAGTTTACCCAATATATCTCAAACTCGAATGTAATATGATTTATTCCAAACATTTTCACTAATTGACTTTTGACGATCAATATGGGAATATATCACAAGAGAACTATTCACCAAACAAAATCATCGTCATCATTTATTTATACTATTCGACTTTTTTCATCGAATAATTTCTAGAATAAAAACTTGTAGAAAATTGTAAATATTCATTACAAACTTTATTAATTATTTTTTTTTCCAAATACTGTATTGTATAAAATTAAAAAAAACAATATATATGAAATTAATCCAAAAAAAAATATGATTTCTAGAATAGATTTTCAAAGTCTTCGTCAAAAACTATGAAAAGTATTTGAAAAAAACAAAGAATAAACATCTATTAAATAATCCAGATATTGTTCAAACAATCGTCAATGATTGATTAGTAGATTATATTGTATAAGATCTTATCTTGAAGTTTTCAATGTACTTTCATAAAAATATATTTACTTTTCATTTACTGGAATTACTCAACATTAAATAAATATTCATAAAATAGAAAATCTATCTTTGGAGAAATTTTTATTTATTAATGAATTATTTTCAAAGAAAAATCAAACATATCTAGTAGATTTATTAATTACAATTCGAAATTAATAATAAACAGTCAATAGTAAATATTAATGCGAGTCTCCTCTCACAAATAATAAAATATATTTCATAATGATTTTTACTTACTTAAATCTATATTGAATGATCTTCTTTTTCAAGATGATTTCATCATTTTCAATAGTAGCAGAAGATAATCAACATTTTCTTTCTCAACACAAGTTTTTCATCATCTATGTTAAAAACAAAACATAAGATTATCGATGAACAATATCTTATTAAATATAAATTATGATTAATTATTTTGTTTTTAGAAATAATATTAATAATTGAAAGTCCTTATGTTTATTCTATCTGTTTAGAAAAAAAAAAGTTTTCTTTTTGTATTATAGAATTTCATTCTTAGCAACAATTCTTTTTAAAACTAATTACTTATTTTCTACTCTTTACTTTTATAGAAAAGAAAAAGAAATGTTGAGAGAAGGAAATGATAGAAAAAATTGAATATTAAAAATATTTTTCTTTTTTCTTTTTTTAATATTAATACGAAATTTATTTATTAAATCGTATATTATTACTTTGAAAGTATACAATTTATTTCCATTTTATCTCTCATTAACTTCAAACGAATAGATCTTCAATAGTCTTTACACATATCATTGATTTGTTTTTAGTTGAAGATTATTATTTATTATTTACAAATCACACCCACTCCCATTGTTGAAAGTTAGTTGTATTTTTTAAGTTAACAAATAAAATGAAAATATTCGAAAAAAAAAACGTTAAAAATATCTTGTCAATCTAATATAAAAATATCCTTAAATCGATCTATTAGAAAAAGAAAAGAAAGAATAAAGAATGGAGATATTTGCTAGAAAAATATTCAATAAGATCAATGTATAATCTATTAATAAATTGTTTACCAAGCCATTTTAGCAAGAAAAGAATTTGGATAACGTCGAACGAAAAATTTTCGTATTTCATCAAGTATAAACATCGCTGCACCAAATCCTATAGCTGGACAAACGAATTTAACGGGTACAGGATGAGTTTTAAAAACATGATTAAGCCATGGAATAAGTGTAATAATTAGACCGACGCATGTTGAAAAAATAATACCAAATACAATTGTTAAATTACGTGCTTTACCAAAAAATGGATTGTGTCGAAAAAATGAAACGTGTCGTGTTCGTGATGAGAGTAAATTGAAAAATTGCATTATACATAGAGCAACATAGTAAATACATTGACCTTTTTGTTGAATCAGTGTAAGTTCATCTTCTGTCTTATTAATGTAAGGATTTTTACCATATTTTGAATAAGTAAAAAAGATACTGCTAAGTGGAATACCTACACAATTATATTAGTAAAATTAAATAAGATTTTGTAAGAAAAGAAAATGTTACCTTGTGATGAATAAAACCAGAAAAAACAAAAATATGCTGAAAAACATTCAATAGTACCAACAAGGATATAGGCATGAAAAAGTAATTTCCAATCTAATAAATGAGTCTTGTGACGAATAGCTGGAGGGCGAGACATAATATCATCTTCAGCTTTTTCTGAAACCATCGCTAATGCATTGACAACATCATTAAGCATACAAAAAATGATGGCCAAAAAAGCAGATAATGAAAGAGGAATACCAAGCCAAATTGTAAAAAATACCGGAATTACTTCAGACCAAGAACCTATTAATAAACAAATAAAAGTCATTGATTACTTATGTTTCTTTTTAATGTGTACCTCCAGGTAATAGATAGATAGCCACTTTTTTTAGATTGTCACTTAACAATCTACCTGTTTCGATCGCTTTAATAATTGATGAAAAATTATTATCAAGTAGAATCATATCACCAGCTTCTCTAGCTACATCAGTTCCAGCAGCCATTGCCACACCTAAATCAGCTTGTTTTAAAGCTGGTGCATCATTGGTTCCATCACCAGTGACTGCTACTACCTCACCTCTTTTAGATAATTCCATGACAATACGTAATTTTTGTTCAGGTGATGTTCGAGCAAAGACAAGTTCTTGATGTGATAAAACCCAATCCCACATATAATCCTGTATAAGAAGAGAAAGATACACTATCAAACTTGAGATATTTTTTATTTACATCCATCGAAGGAATATCACCACCGGCAACAACCACTCCATATGGAATGAGTGGAAGTTTTTCGATATGTTTTGATTGATTAGGATCAGACAAATAGAATCGAAGCTTTGCAAGTAATCGCGAACAAATATTTGGCTTCTTCTTTTTCTTCTGTTCGTCATCGGTATCCAGTGCATCGATACCCTTAACATCAATATTGGTAGTGAGTTCACCAACAGAATGTGTTTCGAGTACTGTATTTGAATTACGCATGAGACGAGCTAATGTTTCACCTGTTTCACTATTACGTTCGATTTTGAATGTATCAATACCATTATCAATACTAACTTCTTTCGATAGAATATTAACTTTTTTTGCAATTGCAGCAGCAGTCGTTGGATGATCACCAGTAACCATAGCCACACGAATTTGAGCTCGACGTGCTTTGAGAACAGCATCAGGAACTTCAGGACGAGCCGGATCAAGTAGAGAAAACATACCTATCATGAAACATATCTTGTATTATCATAATTTCAAAATAATATTTACCAATAAAACAATAATTATTAATTGGTAATCCATTGAGATCAGGTTCATCGGATACTGATTGAGTTTCTTTCTTACTTTTTCTATATTCTTCCATTTTTGTCATATATTCATTGTTACTTATTGTTTGTTGAAGCATAGCAATAACTCGATATCCTGATTTACCTAGAGCTTCTTGTCGTTGTTGAATTGATTGTTTAAATTCATCGGTTATAGGGATTTCATCACTACCTTCATCTGTTTTATATGTTGAACATCGTGGTAAAACAAAATCAGGTGCACCCTTAAGTGTAATAACAACATTATCATCATTAGTTGTTTTGTGTTCGAGAAGATTAGCTGTGATCATAAATTTATTCTTCGAATTAAATGGAACAACATTGATACGTGGATTTACTTTTCGCACATTTTCTATATCAACTCCACATTTATCTTGACATAAATGATAAAGAGCTACATCAGCTGCATCACCTACTAATTTTGTTGTTTCTGTTGTTATGTTCTCATC